GTCTCCCACGCGGGGAAGGCACGCTGGTGGTAGCATGGTGGCTTTGGTCTGCCCTTGCACAAAATGCACCTGTGCCCTGATGGCTGTGGGCGGGCGGGACAGGGTCTCAGAAAGCTACAGGAGGGCTGGGCAGGCGTGTTTATTCTCCGTCCTCAGACGTGGGAGACGATGTATTCCAGGTCGCTGCTGTTTGCAGCCCCCGCTGGCCACGTGCAGGCCCCCTCATCTCCTTACCCCACTAATGTTAGGCTGTGTGTCTGTGACGGTTAGTTTGCAACAGTTCTTTACATCTGATGAGTATTAGCCAGGCACCCAACCTGTACCACGCACAGGCTGTTTGCCATGTACTTGGTGCTGTTGTTCAGGGAGTTTAATCTCTTAGCATAGGGCTTAGCAGACTTTTCTATATAAACCTCTCTCTCCTTTAAAGATTTGTTTTTATTTAAAAGGCAGAGTGACAGTGAGAGGGGACAGAGGGAGATTTTCCATGTCCTGGTTCGTTTCCCAAAGGGCCTGACAGCCAGAGCTGGGCCAGGCTGAAGCCAGGAGCCTGGGTCTCCATCCAGGTCTCCCACGCTGGTGGCAGGGCCCAGCTGCCTGGCCAGTGTGTTAGCAGGGAGCCGGATGGGAATCAGAGCAGCCGGGACTCAGAACCAGCCAGTATCCCATGATCCCGTCTTCAGGAGTCCTTATTTCAGTGTTGGGTTTAAGACACAACTCACCTGTCATACACTAGCAGCATAAACCAGAAACCCAGGCTAGCTTTACGAAGGGCCGTGGAGGTCGGGCAGGTGTGTGTGTGGGGGGGGTGTCTCTGGACTGGGTAACACTGGATGACTGCTTTCCTCTTTCCCCTGCCCGTCCTGAGCCGTGGAGAGCCAGGCAGGGGGTCGGCAGACGCTGGGTGGACCCAGCGGGCCCTGTGACCTAGGCAAGTCCTTTGCCTTCCCTGGGGACCGTGTGACCTCAAGTCTCTAGCGAAGGGGAAGTGAGTGAGATAGCTGAGGATCGTGTGTCAGCGCTGAGGTCAGCTCCAGGGCCTGGCCACCTGGGTTCCGGTACCGACTGTGCCATCTCCCGGCTGTGTGTGACCTGGGACAGGTGACTCGGCCCCTCCGTGCTTGCCTAATCAGAGCTTGTTTGGCAGATCGAATGTCATAATCCCCATGAAGTACTTGCAACAGTGCACACGTGAGTCGTTAGCAAATGAGAGCTGGTGGAGGCAGAGCGCGGGGCGCAGAGTAAATGTTTAATAAACACAAGGGCCCTTCCGGTGTTAGGTGTTCCGTTCACCTTCGCTGCTAGCGGATCTGCCTCCCATGAACACCGTAGTGAAAGCCCCCAACCCCAGATAACCTTGCTTCTCCATCCTTAGCAAGCTGGAGCTTGAGAAGAATTTTCAAAATGTGCCTGTGGGTCTTCTAAGCCCTGCGCGATGAGTATTTACTGCCAGAGCGTGCCCGCATTTCAGAAGGATTTAATTCAGGTGCCGGCTAATATCGCTGCAGCGTCAAAGCGGGAAAAGGACGAGGTTTTCTCGTCTCCGACCTCTGTGTGTCGCAGCGATAGGCATTTCTGGTTAGCACTTAAAATCCCATTTGAAAAGGTCATTGGTTGCTTGCGTGAATCATACCTTGTGAAGACTGGGGAGAAGAGAAAAAGCTCTTCCTACTTCCTTCTCCATTATCTGTCCTTGCTCAATCATGGGTTTCACCCCCCTCCCCCGAGGGGGGCCTTCTTGCTCTCAGCACTGGTGGCCACCCCCACCCCCGGGGCCCAGGGGGATGGCTGAGTCCAGTCACGTGACACTGTCAGGGACAGAGAGAGACCAGACACTGTGCTCAGAGCGCTCAGAGCCTGCGTGGTGCCCTCCACGTGCTCGCGCCAGGACAGTGTTCCCACTTTATGGATGGGGAGACTGAGGCTCAAGTGCTGTCACACTGGCTTCAAATTGCACCTTCACCTTCATCCCAGAGAAGCACCTTGGGCGATAGCGCTGGCCTGTTCCAGAGGCCAGTAATTGGTTTATTCATGAAGCTTTGTCTTTGGAATTTGAAGAAGAAGAAGAAAAAAAAACCCTCTGTATAAGACTCTCTCGAGCTGGGAAGTCCAAACAGGACAAACAGGACACGTGCATCCCGAGGGCAGCATGAAGCCAGAGGAGGGGCTCGAGAAGGAATGGAAGAGTCCCTCCCCTTCCGTAACTCGTGGGTCTCAGGCCGCTGTGAAGTCACCCCTCGCACCGCCCCCTGGCCCCCCACGTGGCCCCCCACGTGGCTGGGAACCGCGAGCTCTCTGACACGCAGTGTCCTGCCGTCATGCCCCCTGCCTGAGCGCCCCCACACACACACACATGCTCCTCTGTGTCATCTTCCAGGATCCTGGCAAGAACCCCCCGAGGTCAGTCCTGCGGTTCTTGTTTTATTGAACACTTCAACAAGTTAGCAAGTTCACGGGAAGCCGAGTTACACGCTAAGTTTGTTTTGGTGCAAATGCATTTTGCTATCCATGCATACAGGGGGTTTTCAAAAAGTTTGTGAAAATAGGTATTATGGTGGTTAAAAAAAAAAAAAACTATGCATGGATTGCAAAATGTTTTGCAGCAAAATCAACTCATCTTTCTTTTCCCGGGAGCTGTTTGAAGGACGCTTGTGTTAGCTTTTTGTCACTGCAACTAAAAATCCTGGGTGGAGCTTCTGAGCCAGGGGACGTTTATTTCAGCTTACGGTTTGGAGGTTTGCAGCCCAAGATGCAGGCTGGCGGTGGCGACTGTGTGTGGAGGGAGGATCCTGCCGCGAGCCAGGGGGCAGAGGTGCAAGGGAGCGTGCTCATCTTCTCCCAGGTGTGACTTCCCCTGGGAAGTCATCATGACCTGGTCACAAGTCCCCCTATGCCCCCCCAGCAGTTCATGCCAGCATTCCCCAGGGACCCACCTCCAAATTGTATATCTGGATCAAAGCTCCGCCCTACACCATCCGCCATTAGCATCAGTCCATTAGTCGTGGAGGCGAGGCTTTGGGGCTCAACCATCTGTGTGAAATTGGGGAACCAAGCCTTGCCCAGTCCATAGCAACCCTCAGATATAAGGGAGGGGACCTCAGCCCTGTCCACTTCCGTAGCCACTAACCAACTAGGGCTAGCAAACATTTGAAATTTGGGAAGCTGTTGGCTCCGTAGTTTTATCTGAACTTACTTCCGGGGGAAGAGGAGAGGGATGTTATCTTGTTTATACTCATGTTGACAACACCCCAAAAAGGGCCCAGTGTATACTGGGGGGCCCAGTGCTTCTTTGCTAAATGACTGGCAGCTTCCGGCTCCTCATCATAAGCCAAGTGTCGGGACTGGTGGTGGCGAAGGACAGTCCTTGCTCTGGGAAAAGTTCGGTTTTCTCTTCCCGACGGGCACTGCTCGCACAGGGAGACGTTCCCTCGTGCGGAGCCCAGCCTAGGGCTCCAGTGCTCATCAATGCGGTCACTGAGAAGGTATTCCAGGGAGGGGGTGAGGACGCGGGAGTGGACGGATGCACTCCCCGCTGGAGCCGGCCTCCCGCCAATCCCACGGGGAGCCCGCCGAAGCCAATGCCCCTCCCTCATTTTTGTGGGCTCCCAGGGAGGTGGGAAAGTCAGGGTGGCCGCCTCCCAGACAGGGCATCCCTTGTGTGGCCAGGGGCAATTCTCCGGCTCAAGGGGCCTCTGGTGCTTCTGGGAGGCAAGTCACAGTGGCTGAGAGGTGGCGGCCCCTGCACAGGGCTCCAGCGGCGCCCACCCTGCAGGGACCTGGCGCCTTCCAGCTGGCCTGACCCCAGCTGAGGAGGTGACAACCAGACACCTGCTTTTGCAAGTGAAGTGACCCCGGGTCACAGGGAGTCACTGGCTCCCCAAGGAAAGCCCAGCAGCTCATGATGACCAAGCCCTGCCCCTCCGTGCAGCTCGGGTGTCCTGCTCATTCCTGGGCCAGCCCAGGCAAGAAAGACACCACGGCTTTTCTTGTCCTAGTCCCCTCCCCTGTGCTAGGAGCTTGGCGCATAGTATCTCATTTAGCAGTCAGCAGCGGTGGGAGGTGGGCCTTGTGATTCTCATCTTTGCAAGGTGGGAGCCGTGGCAGAAATGGCTCAGGATGCGTCAGGATTCGCACCCACACCCTCCAGGCCTGAGACTGTGCCGGTATCTGCTGAGTCCGTGAGCTCTGGGTGGGGGTGGAGAAGGGAGTTACCCAGGCTGTGCTCTTCGTTTCTTTCTCTGTCTCTGGGAAGCCCCCAGAAGCCCTGCAGAAGCCCAGGAGCAGAAGGGGAAGTTGAACCATGCAGTTTTTCCCACGGTTTTCCCCTACCGCTCAGTTACAGAGTTGCAGACATGAATCCCTGAGAAGTGGCTCGGAAGCACCGGGCCCCTTCCTTGCTGCCAGCCAGGGTCTGATTCACATACCAAGTTCCCTGCACTTCGCTGAGTGTAAAACACACTCCCCAAACTGAATCGCTAGGTCCCTATCTTCCCATGCTGCTGCCTACAATCTTCTGTGGCTCCCACTTACCCTCGGGGCAGGGCCAACACTTTGGCCTGGACTTCTGAGCTGCCTCTGCAGTTTGGCGGCTTCCTTCCTACCAATTCCACGTCTCTATGTTGCCCACCAGCACCTCCCACTGAGACAGGAAGGAGAACCGGCGTTTGCTTAGTATCGAAAAATCCTGGGTCCTACCTAGGACCCCTCACCGCATGCCAGGATTGTGTTGTCATGTGAAATCCTCACGAGTGCTTGGAGCTCAGTCCTGCTCTTGTCGCAGGCGAGGAGATGGAGCTCAGAGAGGGTGAGTGACCTCCTCCAAGTCTCAGAGCCAGGCGCAGCAGGACAAGAGTGGACCCCGCGTCTTGCGCCAGGCCGTGCGTTCCGCTTGAACCTTCCCAGTCGTGGGAATTTTCCGTCTGGCCGCCAGCTCCATGGAGCACTAGAAATTTGGCCACTGCGACTAAGCAACTGTCTCTTCGTGTTTATTTTCATTCAAGGTGGCTCCAGGAGACTGGTGGCCCAAAAGCCACGTGCAAGACCTGGGATGTCGCTCTTCTCGCAAGCTGCTGCAGCCTGCTGGCAGATCTGGAGACAGACACGTGCTCCCGGATCAGAGACAGATCCTGCGGCTCATAGCAGGCAGGCGGGCAGAGCCGCGTGTTGCCTCCCGTGCACTTCTCCCTCAGGTCCCGTGGGGTTGCTTCATTGATGAGTGTCATGACTTAAAAAAAAAAATACTTATTTGAAGGCAGAGTTAGAGTGAGATAGAGATAGAGATAGAGATAGAGAGAGAGAGAGAGAGAGAGATATTCTACCTGCTGGTTCACTCTGCAAATGTCTGCAGTGGCCAAGGCTGGGTGAGGCAGAAGCCAGGAGCCCAGAACTCCATCCTGGCCCCCAGGTGGGCGGCAGGGACCATCTTCCACTGCTTTCCCAAGTGCATGAGCAGCGAGCTGCATCAGAAGTGGAATAGCTAGGATTTGAACCCGTGCTCATATGGGATTCCTACATTGCAGGAAATGGCTTAACCCACTTATGCCACAGCATGGACCCCAAGGGGCCCTGGCTTTTAATGATGGGCTCCAAGCAAACCTCCCCAGTCTGTCTCCTGCAAAGGAGGAAATGTACTTGTGTTCCTCCGAGCAGTGAGCAAACCACGCCCTGCCCTAGAGCGAGATGCTGCCTCCGCTTCCTCACCTGTGAAATGGATTTGGTTCTCACAGCCGTGCTGTAATCTCTCAGGTCTGCCCTAACAGCCTCCCGCAGACGGCTTCAACAACAGCCATGCGCTGTCCCCCAGTTCTCAAGGCTGGACGTGCAAGATCAAGGTGTCGGCAGAGTTGGTCCTTGGCGAGGACTGTCTTCCTGGCTTGGGGAGTCCTCCCGTTGCCTTCTCTCTGGGCGCCCTCTGGTCTTTCCTCGTAGAGGACCCCGGTTCTGTCAGGCCATCCCCGCCGTGATGACATCAGTCATCCCTGTCGCCTTCCAGAAGGCTCTCTCTGCATCTGCAGGTGCACCGGCCCCAACAGCAGCCTGGCTCTGACTCAGTGCTGCCCTCCCAGCCGGGCCCCGTCCTCAGCGTTGTCACGACGCTGTCCCGAGGCAGGCTCCTGCTAAGGACTGAACAGCTCCCTGGGCTGACGTGCTGAGACCCTGACTCCCCGGGATTGGGTGGGCATCAGAACTCGCTCCCGCCGCCTTGGGTCTGGGGAAGTTTCTGGGTCTCGTGAACCTTTCTGTCTTCTTGAACTTGAGTGACACGGAACCATCCAGGCTCTGAGGGACTTCTTGGGACTCCAGGGCAACACCCAGAAGCCTTGATTTCCGCGTCTTCCTCGGCAGGGCTGGCTGTGGCCGTGAGCGGGGCCTGCTGCTGTGTGTTGCTGCTGTTTCGTAAGCGCCACGCCCACCCCCGCCACAGCTCCTGACAGCGAAACCACAACCTCTGCGCTTTCCCGAGGCTCACCGTCAGCTCCTCCTCTCCCTCCAGGGCATGCCCAGCTGTCTCCTGCCATCCTTAGAGAGTATTCCAGACTCGGAACACCCTTGCCCTGACAACGTGCTCCGTGACCGGCCAGCAGCCCCGCTGCAGGCGTCAGCTGCACACACACCCCTGTCTGCAGAGAGAAGGGCCTGGGCTCCAGCCCCACTCAGTCCTCACCATCCCGGGACCTCAGAGCTCCCTGGGCCTTGTTCCCCTTCCCCCAGGGCACTGCAGGTCCCAGAGGAAGAGGACGCCCTCCTGCCAGGGTGGGCACCGCCCCCACCGCAGCCCTACTCCTTCCTCTCCCGGCTCTGAGTTCTCTGGTTGATTGGAGCTCTCTCAGACGGGCTCTGCACACTTGGCACTGCTGGGGCAGGAAGAGGGGGGGGGGCTCGGAGGCCACGCAGTCTGGAGCACTGGATGCATAAGTGGGGCGCTCGGGCTCCCCACACTCACGAGCTGCGGCCCCTGTCCAGAGCGCTTCCCGCCAGTACCCGCGCCATTCTTGCCCATTCGCTCCACGTTAGCCGCGAACATGGACCCTGCTCTGCTCCGATCTTCCTGGCCTCTCCCAGTGGTAAACCTTGAGTGTTCTTTCTGTTTTTCAGGTGAAGAAACTGAGGCTCAGAGAGGTTAAGGATCTCCCCTGAGGTCACACAGCTGGTAAGTGACAGATGTCTTTGTTCTGGGGCTGGGAAGAGCCCCTGGGGGTGAGAACTGACAAGGAGGGTGGGATTTGGCCAAAACAACCCCTTCCCCCAGGACAAACCCCAGACCACTGCACCCTGGGTTCTGGAGTGAGCCCACCGGGTGGCCGGGTGGCCGGGCCTGCCCCCACCCACCTAGGGAAGCCCTCCGAGGTTCAGACTCTCTAGGACAGGGCTGGTGCCCCCATGGGAGCCAGGCACCTCTACACATGCTGCCTGCCTGACATCCTGCCCCAGCAGAGCCTGACAGGCAGGCTCACCCTCGCCTGCCACAGCTCGGGACAGTTGAGCAGTGTGGTTTTGTAGTATTTTTGGTTTGCTGTGTCTGTAAAAGCCGCAGCCACTCCGTTGGCAGAGTTCTGGCTTCCCCTTCCTGAGGACCATTGATCTCAGCTAGGGCCATGCAACTGCCCAGCTAGGAGAGAACCTGCAAACCGAGAGCCAAACACCAGAGGGCGCTCGCCTGACCCGTCAGCCAGCACTGTTCCTTGCGGCTCAGGGACAGGGCGGTGTGACAGTGCCATTGTGATTGGCCCTTTTTCTCTCTGACGATTCGGCGGCCCAGGACTGCCCGGGACCCCTACTTCCCACGATGCACAAACCAGAATGAATGTTTGCTCTCTCTGCTGCATCGCGGCTCATTCCACTCGTAGTCTGGGTCATCACCGTTCCCAGCCGGCAGACGGGGCCGTGAGGGGACAGATGGACCACTGCTGTCTTGGTCAAAGGAGACAAACAAGTGACTTCGTGCACACCAGAGTGTCGGTTTATCATTCAGCCTGCAAAGGGGAACACAACCATGCAAGGGATCTTGACTCAGGCCATGTGGGGGCAACAGGGAAGGCCTCCCCTGGAGAGCATTTGGCCAGAACCTTGACCACAATGAGGGGCACAGCCATACGGGTTCTGGGCAAGAACATTCCTGGTGTGTGCAAAGGCCCTGAGGCAGGGAGTGTGCTTGGTGAACCTTCCTTCTCTCAGTTTGACTCTGTGTTTGCCTCCCTGCCCTTCTGCCCACACAACAACTTCTCCTAGCTCCTCTCCCTCTGTCATCTCCACGTGGCTGTGGTGTTGTGGCAGGGGCTCGGGGTCATGTAGCAAGACAAGTCAAGCCGTGTATCTCGGACAGGAAGCCACTCGTCCTAGATCTTAACCCTCTTGGCACGGTTCCCCTCTGGTGAGGTTTAACATCGTTTTACAGGCTTGCTTTGTGTTTATTCTCAAAGCGCATTTCTGAGCCAGGACTGTGAATTTTCAGCACCATGTCATCCACTATTCCATGCAGAGCAGGGGCTGGGATTCCAGAAACCACAGACAGCAAGAAAGCAAGTTGGACACTGGAGTGCTGGCCTCTGGGAGGGAGCTGGGGCCCAGGGGCTGAGGAGGCAGGCAGACGTGTGTTCTGGCACGGCCGGCGTGCTCAGGCTCCCGCCTGTGGAACCAGCTCCCCCTGCACCTGCAGGGGCGCCTAGGGGTGCAGCTCTCGGGGCCCAGCACGCTGGCATGGATGTGCTTGGGGAGTCAGGAGCGGCCGGCTCCAGTCTTGCCACCACCACAGGCTGCTGTGCATCCCTGAGCTCGTTTTGCCCCCTCTCTGAGCTCCAGAATCTGAGTCAGAAAGGTGGTGTCATTACAGACACGCTTCTCTGATCCTGAAACGCAACCAGCTCGGGCTCCAAGGCGGGGTGCAGCCAGGCGTGGGGACAGAGCCCTCTGGCAGGTTCCCTTGATGTCGCGGTCTCTGGCTCTTGGTACAGAGAGGCCCTCCAAACGGGGCAGTGCTGTGATGGTCCTGCCTGGGGCTGCCAGTCTAGAGCCGTGGGCTGTCCTCACTCTCCCTGACCCGGGGCCTGGGGCTGCCAACGCAGAAATTCATTTCTGGGAGCAACAGAACGGCTTGCTTTCTGCGGGGCCCAGAAGGACCTATTAAATGTTCCATTAACTGAATCTCATTCAGCTGGAAAAATAATCATCAGAAAGCAATTGTGCCTGGCCACTGGCCTGCGAGCCCGGGGAGCTTGTCATGAGGAATATCCACAAAGCATCTGTGCAGCAGGGCCCGGAGCCCTCCTCCCTCCCCGCCAAGGAGCAGCGGCTGGCTCAGCTGTCGACCAGCAAGCCGTCATTGGGCTGTCCACCTGTCCATCTGTCCGCCAAGCCCGCCCCCACGAGTGGCTGGGGCCAGAGACACATCACCGGGGGTGCAGCTCTGAATCAGGCACACACCGTGTCCTCGGGCAGCCGGGCTCAGTCCGACCACTGTCTCCGTTTGGTCAGGCTCCAGAGAGCTCTCCTCTCAGCTCCCTCTTCTGGTCACGGTCATGTAGATTTGTCAGACATTCAGCTCTCTTTCCCCCACCATCTGCCCCAAGTTCGGTCTAACAGGTCCTGTGTGTCCTGGAGAGAAGGAAAGGAGAGGGAGACCAGGCTACAAGTTGCACTTGAGACCTGAAATTCACCGGTTAGGAGGAGACAGAATATTGATAGCGGAATCCCATGTGGAGATTGAGGCAGCGTCAGGTGTGCCGTCTGGAATCTGATTCTGTCCCACGTACGGGCTCACACATCAGCCTAGGAGCGCTCCATGGAAGCTGGCAGAAGACTTGAGGCCCCTGGCTCCGAGGTGAGGGACTTTGTCATTCACCGCTGAGCAAGCGGCCCGGGCTATATGTTTGCGTCTGGCCCGGACAGATACCGGCACTTGGAATTTGGTTGCCATGCAGGACAACAACACTGAATTGAAGGCAGGGACCTCAACCTGCAGGCAAGCCAGTGCTTTGTCCCCAGCTGAGACGTTCCCTGGTGTCCCATGGCACCCAGGGGCACTGTGGTCAGAGCCCTGCCTTCTTGGTCCTCATGGCCAGACAAGTAGGAATGCAGGAGACGCACGGAGTGGGTTTGTAAACAATCGTTTGGCACCGAAAGACTCTGGATCTGAATCCAGACACTGAGTGTGAGAGGAGATAAATCCCAATCGCTGGGCTTCTTGCAGCCTCAGTTTCCCCATATTTCAAGTGGGGCTAAGACCTCGCTTTCAAGCGATTGTTAGATACCGTGAGCGAGCGGTGTTCGAGGAACACGACGAGGTACAAAGGCAGCTGTGTTGCCTGGCACATCCCTTCAGTGCTTGGATGCCAGCAGTCCTCAGCGTGGTGAGAGTGGTGAGCTGGGAAATGCTGGCGACGAGAGTACATGTGACGGTTCCAGGACTGCCCCTGCAAGGAGCTGGCGTTGGACCCCGCTTCCCAAACTGGGTAAAGGAGTGACTCTGAGAAGGGCAGACAGCTGGTGTTTGGGTCCTGGGCTAGGCACCCCATAGGGATATCCTGGAAGCCAACAGGGCTTGAGAGAGCGAGCGGAGAGCAGGCAGGGTGTTGGCAGGATCTCGTGCGCCATGGTGAGAGCCTTGGATTTGATTCCGGGTGCAGGGGGAAGCCACTGGAGCCTTGTGGGCAGGTGAGGGCGTGCACAGCAAACAGCCCGGAGGAGTGCGGGGATTCCTCTTTACCCACTCTTCCTAAGGAGCACGTTCGCCTGTGGTATTCCCTGGATCCTGGCAGGAGAAACCAGGGACGGTGGCACGGCGGGAAAGGGCGCCGGTCTTCTGTGCGTGGAGTCCGAGCTCAGAGCGAACTCGAGAGCTTGAGGGATTGTGGCTCAGTCGATACTTGGAGAGTCCGGGCAGGCAAACAGAAGCAAGTGAAGTTCTGGGGGCGGGTTCTGAGTCCCCAGGGCTCTTGCTCTGTCTGCCTGCATGGCTCCCCCCAGAACCAGGGAGAACAGGGGCGCCCAGGCACAGTGCGGGACCTCGAAAACAGACCCTGGATCTGAAAGCCATGGGCTTGTCACCGTGTTCATCAGAGAAGGCAAATTCATCCTAATCATTCATCCCCCCACTTTTTTTTGGTTAATTATCATTCCTGTTCTTTGCTGAGAGTAATGTCTGGCATAAGCCCCAGCGCACAACACACAGGCACACTTGCGAAATTTGCCTGCCCTGATGAAGAACAGCGTTGGCTTCACTGGGAGAGGCAAGAGAAGAAGGGGGAAGGGGGCCAAAGAATGAAGCAGAAAGACTGGCACTGGGGTGGCCCCCATCGAAATAGCGGTAGGAAGGTAACACACGCTGCGCCTTCGGAAAGTTCTGGATCCCGATGCTGTCGGGATGGGGGGGAGGCTGACATGACATACAGTGTCCCTGGCACCTGTCACTCCTCTGCTGCCTCCACCACCCCTACGATGCTGAGAAGCAAGGACTTGTGTGGCCTCTGGCAGCCCCCAAGCCGGAATTCAGATCCGGGGCTTCTTCCTTGGGCTGTGTGTTGGTACCCCACCCAGCCTCGGTTTCTGTCCACGCTCAGAGGAAAGGAGCTGGCTTCCTCAAGCCCACCGCTTGCCCCTGCCTTCTGGGAGGAGACAGATAACGCCTGTGTGCTTTAAAACAAATCGGGCAGAACGGGAGGTTTGTGAAATCCAGGGCTCCCCACGTGGGAGGCCCTTGGATGGGCGTCAGGGGATTTGCTGAGTAGCGCCTGGGAGGGACCATGGCAAACTCCCACCCCTGGCCACCAGGGCGTCTGCCATCCCTAGCAGTGAGCCAGCCAGCCATTCACCTCTGTCCTGCCAGACCGGCCTCCCCTGCTGGACAGACGGGGAGCAGCTAAAATCCCCCTGTCCAAAGGGATACGCCCTCAGTGGGTTGACGGGCGGGCTCCGTCAGGGACGCTGCCTGTGACCCAGCCCAGGCTAAGATGCAAATACTACTGGGCTTCACCGAGTTCACGGAAAAGGGATTAAAAGGTACATTTTTTAGGGTCTAAAAATGTTTGCATAGATACAGGCATCTTCAAAAGGTTCATAAATATGTGCATTATGAAAAATTATGAAAAATCTGTGCATGGATTTCAAAACTGTGTGCACCAAAAGGAGCTGCTTTTAATTCCATTTTCGCCTGCA